CCCTTGTTCCCTCTACCCGCGTTCCCCCTACCCTTGTTCCCTCTACCCGCGTTCCCTCTACCCGCGTTCCCCCTACCCACGTTCCCCCTACCCTTGTTCCCTCTACCCGCGTTCCCCCTACCCGCGTTCCCCCTACCCGCGTTCCCCCTACCCTTGTTCCCTCTACCCGCGCTCCCTCTACCCGCGCTCCCTCTACCCGCGTTCTCTCTACCGTTGTTCCCTCTATCCGCGTTCCCTCTACCCGCGTTCTCTCTACCCTTGTTCCCTCTACCCTTGTTCTCTCTACCCGCGTTCCCCCTACCCTTGTTCCCCCTACCCTTGTTCCCTCTACCCGCGTTCCCTCTACCCNACCAGCCTGCTCCATCTGCTGGTTCTGCATCAGGTGGTCCGCGTACACACAGCTCAGAGCCTGCAAGACAGACATCAGGGCTCAGACTCTCCTTAACACTAGAACCGCCAACGGGTACGTTTCACCCTAAACATGTTCAATATGAAGTCCGATTGAAAAAATGGCCATTTATACCCATCAGCGCCAGCGGGTAATATTACCTCGCAGTGATTCTTTTAGATAGATAGATATCATATGAAAGCTGAGAGTCCACAGATTCTATTGGTATACGTTTCATCAAAACTCACTGTTAACTCTGTGTTCTAGTATTTATACATTCTAAGAGATCTGTTACCTTGTAGTGAGGAGGGTCTGCAGAGTAGAGTCTCAGAGCTTCACTGTACAGTTTCTGCTCCTTCACCAGCTGCAGGGCTTCTGGGAAATGCTCTGCGCCTGAAACACAGGTCACATCAAATCAATTATAAATTCAAAGTGTTTCTCAAAGTGTTTTGGTGGCAACAAAGACACGCAGTCAGTGAGTGCGTAAACAATGCTAAGTAAATGGAACAGTGTAAATAATTAACTTGTGTTTAATGTGCAATTACAATGATATACAGTTAAGTAACTTTAAAATAAGTGTTTACATATGTGGGTCGTATATATATATATTAGATGTAGGAGTCAGGTGGTCCGTGTGTCTCTGTATTGGTTCTAAGTGGAGCTTGGTGTGAAACGGTTTGAGAAACACTGATATAGATACTGACCCGCCCTGCTGAGGTGCTGCAGAGCCTTCCTGTAGCGCTTCAGGTGTTTATCGATGCTGTAGCGCTGGTAGTTCGGCTCCAGACTCTTCAGCATGTTCAGGAAGGGAAGGTACTCTTTGGGGTCCTGCAGGGAGGGGGGGGGGGACATTAAAACACTGGAAATACACCCACCAATCACAGCTTGGGTAATGAATGTCACTTTTTGATGCTGTGTAACTCTGAAGTTAGAACACTTTTCAGGCGAGAAACAAAGCATTTAGATGAGCAATATGTCATTTCCTTATTCAAATAATGCATGTTTGTGAATGTACGTTGATGTTTGTATCTGTGAGGAGCTGCTGCTGTACGAGTCTGCTTAATGACTCACTGTCTGAACATACAGGTCCACACTGTTTAACCATAGGGGGCTCAATAATAACACATTTAAATTATGAGCGCCACCATCTGGCCATGCAGACGTTAAAAATGTGATTTGATCCATTTGTTTCTCCGTTTATATCCTTCATATCTTGTTTCAAATCAAATATATAAACTCATGCTGCATTGATTCTTATGTCGACACTTGGAGACTGAATTTCCCACAAGGAGCATTAAAGATGCACACCGCAATCTTCCTCAAAGATGATCTAAATGAATTTGTAGGCATCTTGTGGCGTACGTTAAAACAATAAATCTGTCCGACATTTGGCAGCCTTCATTTTCACTGCATCATTTTAACATTAATGAGGACCAGATGTTTCCTTGAAAGCTTCTTGATGCTCTAAGGTACAAAGGGCCTAAACATCACTTAATGAATAGAAATGAGGGCTGGTTTAAAAAACTGATCTGTTTGATCAAAAAGCATCTTTTGTATTCCTGCCCCAAGCACTTTGCTACTTGGTAGGTTATCTCGTACCTTCTGTGATTTCTCGGCCACCATGAGCACCAGGTCGAAGTCGTACGTTCCCAGCGAGTGTTCGTAGAGGTCGTTCACGTTGACAAGGAACAGGAGGTACTTCAGAGCCTCTTCAGCGCTCACAGACCCAGGATCAGCTGGAGGGTTCACTAAAGAGACACAGAGTCACTCAGAGAGGAGGCTCACACACCTGGTCAGTGAGGAGGTGAGGAGGCACACACACCTGCTCAGAGAGGAGGTGAGGAGGCTCACACACCTGCTCAGTGAGGAGGCACACACACCTGCTCAGTGAGGAGGTGAGGAGGCACACACACCTGCTCAGTGAGGAGGCACACACACCTGCTCAGTGAGGAGGCTCACACACCTGCTCAGAGAGGAGGTGAGGAGGCTCACACACCTGCTCAGTGAGGAGGATGAAGGAACACATCACACGTCCTGCAGCTCACCTCTCAGCTCGTGGACTTTCTGCAGAGCGACCTCCAGCTCGGGGACGCTCTTCTTCACGTGAGTCGTCAGGATGGAGAGGAAGAACCTGGATGGTTGAGAGAAAACACGATTTATTCCACTGTTGATCCATCTACTGTCAAACACATGCATCACTGACCACCGCGGAGCTGAATCAAGTCAGAGTCGAGTCTCAAGGGCTCCGGGTCCACAGTGCGGCTTCATCTGAGCGTGCTGCACCCAGTTATATATGATTTACTTTGAACTCTGGAGGGCGTGATGGAGCAACAGCTGTGAGGAGGCTCACACACCTGCTCAGAGAGGAGGTGAGGAGGCACACACACCTGCTCAGTGAGGAGGTGAGGAGGTTCAAACACCTGCTCAGTGAGGAGGATGAAGGAACACATCACACGTCCTGCAGCTCACCTCTCAGCTCGTGGACTTTCTGCAGAGCGACCTCCAGCTCGGGGACGCTCTTCTTCACGTGAGTCGTCAGGATGGAGAGGAAGAACCTGGATGGTTGAGAGAAAACACGATTTATTCCACTGTTGATCCATCTACTGTCAAACACATGCATCACTGACCACCGCGGAGCTGAATCAAGTCAGAGTCGAGTCTCAAGGGCTCCGGGTCCACAGTGCGGCTTCATCTGAGCGTGCTGCACCCAGTTATATATGATTTACTTTG